CAGCAGAGCTGAATGGGCTGTGTGGGGGTGGCACTTGTACATGCACAACAGTGTGGAACCAGGGGAAGTGAGTACACCAGGAATGGGGCCAGGTTCCAGTCATGGGTGCTGTGACAGCGTTTGCAGTAAACATTCAAATGGTCAGGCCCATGGGTGAAGGAGGTGGGAATCCAGAGGGAGGAGATGGAGGTGGAGGAGATGGAGGAGGCTGCCCTGCGGGCAGTGTCCCTGGCTGCACGACTGAGCATTGTGTGCCAGCCCTGGGATGGAGGTGAGCCTGGGCTCTGGGGTTCGGCTGCTGTGCTGCAGGTTGGAGGCGTGTGGTCTGACCTCGGAGTGCTGTGCTGTGCTGTCGTCCACCTTGTCCTGCAACCGATACCTGACTAGCCTGAACCTGCTGCGCAATGACTTCAGCCCCTCGGGGGTGGCCACACTCTGCTCTGCCTTTGCACACCCCTCCTGTGGCCTGCATGTGATTGGGTGAGTCCCCGAGGTGCTACAGGAGGCAAACCTGGTCTTTGGGCGCGACCAAGGTGTGGGCCAGGGAATGGCTGAGGTGCGGCCCTGCCCGGAACTTGTGGGGCCTCGCTGTCCTGTGAGGGTCGTATTGGAGCCGTGGTATGAATCCAGGGTTTGCTTTTGGCCGTGGTGGAACCAGGCCAGGCCAGGCACGCTTCATGGAGGGCAGACATGAGGATGGCAGGAGAGGAAGGCAGGCTGGAACCTGGGGCTCAGTGGGAGACCAGGTCCCACCATTCAGTCCAGGGTGGTCTGGAACACATGGTTCTCCTGCCTCAGCTTCCGGAGTGCTGGGATGACAGGCATGCTTCACCATACAGGGCTGGATGTGGTTATCTTGATGTGTGTTATAAAATGATAGTGGCCAGGCTCTAGTGGCTCACGCCAGTAAACCTACTCAGGAGGCTGAGATCTGAGGATTGCGGTTCAAAGCCAGACTGGGCAGGAAAGTCTGTGAGACTCTGATCTCCCATGAACCACCAGAAAACTGGAAGTGGTGCTGTGGCTCAAGTGGTAGAGTGCTAGCCTTGAGCTGAAGAGCAGAGGGACAGCGCCCAGGCCCAAAGATCAAGATCCACACTAACCAAAAAACAAAAACAAAGATGATAGCACAAGCTGGCTGGAAAAGCACCCCATGGGGGAGACAGCATGTGTGTCCATGGCCCAGCCTTTGGCAATGAGGGGTCAGCAAGGCACCGAGAGGGGCGGCACGGAACCCCACCCTGGACTCCAGGAACTGGCCTTTGCTGGCCCAAGTCCACACTATGGGTGGGGAGGGTGGCCCTCCGCCCCTCAAGTCCATGAAGGAGCTCAGAGGGCCAAGTAGCATACAGCCTTCCCTGGTCACTGGCGGGGGGGGGGGAGGGGGGGAGGAGAGAGATGCTGTTTCTCCATGGCTGCTCCAGGATTCCTTTGCACTCAGGGACTTTGTTGCTTGAGGAAAACGTTCTCTTGAAGTGCTCGAACTGAGATTCGCAGTCCTTGATGAAAGCAAGATCTCAGCCTGACCGGCTCCTCTCTCCACAGCTTGTGGAAGCAGCAGTACCCCCCTCCGGTCAGAAAGCTGCTGGAGGAGACACAGCAGCAAAAACCCCAATTGACCATCAGGGATGACTGGTATTCCCTTGAGGAAGACGACCGGTATTGGTGGAAAAACTGAAGGCTTGGAGACACGCGCGCACACACACACACCACGGCAGTACCAGAACACCTCCAGGGGGACGGCAGTCTCTGGCTCTTCCCTGGCCCACACGGATCCCTGCAACCTGGTCATTGCACCCGAAGTCTGCGACCTTTCCCCTCCCAGGACCTGGATGTATGTGCAGTGACCCTTCAGCACACAGAGCTGGGGGCCAGGGTGGGGGAATAAACACTGAGCATCTGAACAGCCCCGTGGTCCTCTTGGGGCAGGAGTTAACAGGAAAGGAAAAGCTGGCTTAGCTCCTCAAAAGTGACCCTAAATCAGATGACACTGCTCAGGTCTGAATGCAAAATGGCACCCCGGCTCCATGTCTTAACACAAAGCTGAACTAAGTGGGATGGAGAGCTGATCTCTGGGTCTCCAGGGACAGGCTGGAGTTCTGGGGCTGAGGCTTGCCATGGTGGGGGGAAGGGGGCGCATATAGCTCAGGACTGGAGGCTCACATGGGCGAGGCCAGCTGCTTGGTGACCCCTTCCTCATGGGTGAAGGGCAAACAGCTCATTGATCAGCTCAGGCTGTTGGGTAGATTCTGGTTTCTGGGGCTTTGGAACCATTAGTCTTGGGGATGGGGTGTTAGATTTTCATACAATTTGTGGAGGAGGGGTGTCTGTCTTCTGTTTCTCTAACAGATAATTACTTTGAAAAAAAAAGGGCTGTGGTGTCACTGCGGCGGTTTCAGCCCATGGTTGGCCCCACGGTGGCAAGGCAGTCGGCATGACGGAATCACAGGACACAGCAAGCCCGCTCAGCCTCTGGTGAACAAAGATGGGGCAGAGCCTGCAATGCCTGAAGGCCACACCCCCAACAGCCCAGCCTTCCACTAAGCACAACTCTTTTTCTTTTCTTTTTTTTTTTGCCAGTCTTGGGTCTTGAACTCAGGGCCTGGGTGCTGTACCTGAGCTTCTTTTGCTCAAGGCTAGCACTCTACCACTTGAACCACAGCACCATTTCTGGCTTTTTCTGTATATGTGGAGCTGAGGAATTGAACCCAGGGCCTCATGAGTGGTAGGCCAGCACTACCTCTGAGACACGTTCCCAACTCTTAAAGGTGCCACCACCCGAGAGCTTGCAGGGAGGGGCGGTGTGAGGTCCTGACTGCAGCTCTTGGGTTTTTTTGTTGTTGTTTTTTGTTGGTTGTGGGGCTTGAACTCGGCCTGGGCACTGTCCCTCAGCTCTTCAGCTCAAGGCAAGTGCTCTACCACTTGGGCCACAGCACCAATTCTGTTTTTCTGGTGGTTCAATGGAGATAAGAGTCTCATGGACTTTCCTGCCTGGGCTGGCATGGAGCCACAATCCTCAGATCTCAGCCTCCTGGGTAGCTGGGACTATAGGCCTGAGCTCCCAGTGCCCATCTGTCTTCCAATTCTGGAGTCCAGTTGTGAGCTGGACAAGTCCTCTGCCTCAGGAACTTACAAGGACCCAGGTGCCACTGAGGCCTGTGCCACCCCCAGGTCCCACAGGACCATTGCTTCCAAGGCTGCTGGGCTGAGGGATGGGTTCCATTCTTAGCTACACATACTTTACCTCAGGTTTGGAACAGGTCCTCACCAGGCTGCATTTGGCTAGAGCAGTCACAGGTGCCCCCTGCTGGCGGGAAGCAGGCCTGGCCATGAGTGCCCAGGAAGGGGCACAGAAAGCTGGTAGGACCCATTCCACTGGGCCTGCATGGAGGCAGGACCGCATCTGTCTTGGATCCTCTAGGGGACTGAAGCATTTCCTAGTTGGACCTGAAGCCCAGCCCCTTGCCCTTCCCGGCAGCTGGTCCTGGAGGCAGGGCTGGTCCTGAAGGCAGTGGCTTTGTGAATGTAGCCCTCCATAACTGCCACACTGGGGACAGCAGGTGCAGGCCGGTGCTTCCAGGGAATACCAGAGGGCAATAATGACACTTGTGTATGCTGGACTCATAGAGTACTAATCCAGGGAGGATGGCATGGTAACCTGCTTATTCTGGAGACAAGGCTGTGGCTGACGGTCAGGCCTGGCACTTGGGTCACCAGCAGGGGACAAGTGGCAGCACTGCTGATGCTTGAGGTAGGTGACAGGCGACTATGCTCACAGTAGGGGCTGAAAGTGCCCCCCTCTTATGCACAGTTTTGTCCTGAGGGAGATCAGTGGTGCTGGTTTAGAGCTGAGGCCTGCCCCCCGCCCCCAACCTGGGGCTCGGGCTGTCCTGGCTTTCTGGAAGGATCTCAAGAACGTTGGCCAATCAGAGGCCTCGCTCTATCTTCACATGGCTGGGATTAGAGGAGACCCACCAAGCTCGTGCTACTAACCATGAAGGGCTGAGGGCTCCAGTACCCCATGCCCTTCCCAGCCTAGGTCCAGGAGATGAGGGGGGCTGGCCTGGCCTGACCACATCCCTGAGGCAGGAAACCCCCCTGCAGCCGGTCCCGCCGCAGGGTGCTGGGGCCCACATGCGAGCTCCCCGTGGTCAGCGCCCTGTGAGGGGCGGCCAGGGATAGGCTGGGCCCAGGACAGCGCCAGGAGCTGGGCCTGGCCAGGAAGCACACGCACATTGCCAGGCTTCCCCTTGCCTTTCCTCGCATTGCCAGGCTTCCCCTTGCCTTTCCTCGCAGCAGGTGCTGTGCTGTCCAAGGGGCCAAGGCGCGGCTGCCCCGCCCGCCCCGGGTCCCCACAGCTGGAACAGCAGCGGCACAAGACCTCAGTGAGGAGCTGCTCCCGACACTCCTGGGGTGTGCACCGTAGTGAGTGCTCGTGCCACTGTTCCTGGGGTGGACACCAGGGGCCCGGTGCTCACCCCTGAGGTGCGGGAAGGGCCGGGGTGTCCGGTGTCCACCGTGCCGGGCCTACGGGCTGCGTGCCAAGGAGGACGCCAGACAGTGCACGGGCTCTGCCCACCTGGCGGCGGGCCGGGTGGACCCCACGAGGTACGCGCCGGGCGCGGAGGAACCTCAGGCCCAGGGCCGCCAAGGCAGGCTCCTCCCGTCCGGATTTGGCTCCGCAGGTTCCACTGCGGGCTTTGCTTGGACTTCTAACAGTCCTGACCAGCTCGGCAAGCCTGAGCCCCAGAGTCCCGGCCACCCCCCGTCGTCCATGCTCCTGCAAGTCTGCAATGCGTGACCGAACCACATGGCAGCTTCTGCACCCAAGTCACGCAGCCCCTCAGCCTCGTGGGCTTCCCCGACAGCGCAGACCCTGCCGGCTGGAGGGTCTGCTCTGCATCGGGGCACCCCCGAGTCCTCCCCACGTGGGCTGGTGGGGAGCACTGCCCGGGTGGTAGAAGAGCCCGGGCGCTGTTGGGCTCCCCTAGGGCTGAAACTTATCCCCGGCGGGGGGCCGAGATCAGGCCCTGGGATGCGAGAACCCGGCATTGGGACTCACTCGGATGGTCGGCCTGGGGCAGGGCTGCCTACCTACCTTTACTGACTGGTACTTGTCGGAGCTAGGGGTCTGCGCCCTACCCTGTATTTACACTCCACTCTAGCTCGGGCTGGACTCGAACCTGCAAGGGCCGGGCTACTCCCTCCGCCCAGGCCAGAGCCCCGCCTTGGGGACAAACCACGCTGAGGTGGGGACGGTTGGACAGCGCGTTTATTGCCCGCCCCACCCGGCCCCGCGGCCGCGCCCCTCACCCAGTCCAGAAGGGGCCACGCTGTCGCAGTCTCTGCTGTCGCGGTCGCCTGGTGCATTGCTGCGATGCGGTGGGGCGCG